TCATTCCTTGTCTTCCTGCACTCCTGTTGCTACCATGGCAGGGAACCAGGGTCAAGGTCTGGGGTTTCAGGACACTCAATGACAACTCACGTTTGTTCAATGCATGCTGTGCCCTACCTTCTGTCCTTGGTCACTGCTTTTCCATGTCAATGCCGACAGCAAGGTCCCCAGGTCTCTGGGGCCAAGACTGTGCTACGTGGTGCTCTTCCTCACTGCAGTCAGGGCTGCAAGTCCGGAGGCTCTAGTTCAGCACCAGCCTGTGCAGAAAATGCTGTTGGCACTCATTGTCGTGAAGGACAAATGGACAAGTGTCACACAGAGAAAACGGAAGACAGGATTGTCCTTCTGTGCTGATAGGAGCAGGGGGTGTAAGGAAACCCCGGGATACATACTGAACTCCCACTGGAGTGTGTACTGCAGCATGAGAGCGGATATGTAGGCAATCACTGGAGCGCGTCATCAGATTACCAGAAAATTGCTGCACCGTGTTATTGGATATGCTGAAAACTGTCCCTCTTCTAAGAGGGCAGTGGTTTGTTCGGAACAGAGTCAGAACAACCTGCGATACCATGCTGCTCATGTGGATGGACTTTCATAGCAAGGCTGGTCTGACATCCACCAAAGCGAGTGGAAAGGCAGAAAGAAATTCTCCATTGCACAATGTAGTGCAAGGTGGAAAAACCACAGCCAGCAGAGCTAAGTAACCTTGGCAGAGCAACCTGGAAATGAAGCTGCACAGCTTCTAGTAGCTAACAAACAACATTGCTTTATAGAGACATACCCAGCTTTCAGTGAGCCTGGGGTTCAGGTTGCAGGAGCGCTTGACAACGTACTAGTCATGCTGCAAACATGACTCAACCAAGGCAAATTAGGGAGGTCAGCCTCAGAGCCAAAGAACGAACCAGGCATCCTGGGCTACTAGTTTTGCTGCCTGTTATTCTATAAGGAAACGCAGTTTGGCAAAGCTGTAGGTTTCGTAGATAGTGCATTGAGCAGTCTCCAGTTAGCTGGGGGGTAGGTGTGTGTGACTGGAGAGAGAAAGCAGGGCAAGACATGTGACATGGGGAGCAGTGCTGCTGGCATCACGTTTAGGAAATCCATCTGTGTTTGAGGAGTTCAGCTGCAGTAGAGTTCATTGGAGTTTTAGAGAGCCAGGTGGTGTCTTGTGCCATTGGATTATTTTACCAGTTACAGGTGTCCTAATATGAATCCGTGTTGCTAGTGAAACAAGGTATGCAAAGTGGCTACCAGACCTAGGACTGGGAAGGGCCAGGAGAAAATACAGGGTGGGTGCACAGGCCTTTTGTAGAGGAAAGCAAACTTGTGCATGTCCTCCTGCTCATGGGGACATTGCAGGCCACAGGCAGCAGCTCAGAAGCCTGAGAAACTCAGTTGTGCACCCTGCTCCTGTGTGAGATATGATAGCAAGGACAAGGAAGACTCATAAAAAGGTAGATCTTTTCAAGCTGAGAAATTCACTGATGTGATAAATGGACATCAAATGAGAAAGGAGCATGCTGGCCATAATTTTGACAAAGAAAGAAGCAACAATTACCACCTCATCAGTACAGACAGGGACAGCCCATGTGGGTGGACATTATCTGTCTGTGTTTGGCTTGTTTCCATTTCCCATGAGGCAGAAGTGCAGCTGGCCTTTGCCGAGTTTTGCTAGGGACCTACAGAAATAGAGGCAGGGGGCTGCCATGAAGGCGAAGGAGAAGATGCTTGAATAGAGGATATTGAAGCAGCTTTTGTTGGGTTGGATCAGATGAGGCCAACAGCATGGAGGGAGCTGAGGGGTTCCAAAGGGTGACAGAAACCATCTCAGGAGGCTACACCAGACTGCCAAGTCTAGGCTTATACTGGGATTTCTCTCTCCTAAAAGCAACAGAGATAGCATCTGGCATCAAATGGATAATCAAGGGTAATCTGGTACTCCCAAAACTGAAAAAGACCTGATCTTGTGCCACTGTTACAATTTCCATGGACCACTTGGATACTGAGCCCAGCTCAACTGGAAGAGTAACTGTGCTTTCTAAGGGGCAAAGCAAGCTATGCCCTGTTGCAAAGCAACCGACCAGAATGAAACCCAGTTTCTCCCACAAAGTGCTCCCTTCAGTTGCCCAGGCTATGGAAGAGTTTGTCTCATTCTTGAATGTACAGCAGACCAAATTAAAGCTTTGTAATTTTTGCCTGAACACTTCAGCCTGTGAGGTGACGTAGTCTGTAGAAACGGGAACATGGAGTGCATATAGGATCAACAGAGCACCTGATTGTACCAGAAACAGCGGCTGTTCTGAAGTTAGTGCATGATTATCTGATAGGAATTTATTTTGGAATTACCTGTAGCTCAGGCTGGATTCAGCAGATATGATACTCCACCTGACCCTGGAGAAAAGCAGAGGGTGCTGTCAGAGATATCAGAAATGAGTCAGTTCCTACAGCATGAATATCAGAATGCATATTGCAACAACAGAGAGGGAACAAGGAAAACAATAATCATAGTGACATACCAAATTCCTGTTCTGAAGCAGATGGACATGAAAGACAACTCATTTAGCAATTAGACATTCTTTCAATCACAAAAGGGAAAACTACAGAATTGCAAGGAAGAGAAAAGCACTACATTTAATAAGCAAGTGTCAATCCATGAGATGAGATTTTGCGTGCATGTGATGTTAATACCAGGCAGAACAACAAAATTAAATGTATTTGCACCAGATGCAAAGACAAGATGAGAAATTGAATGTCAGATCAAGAGACGACATGAATGAATGCACTAGGCTATGAAGACTAGCAAAATAAGAAAGCAGAATGGCCATGCACTAAAGCAATTTTTAGATTACATGATAAAACTGCCATTAAGATACTGTAATTTTGAACCATAAGACCCACAAAAAGCACTTAAACTAAAATTTTGGGTAATCAATAGAAGCCAGTGATTTAAATTAAAACATGTGTATTCATGACCTTAGTGAAAAAAATGGGAAAGACAGCTTATATACTCAGCAAGATGCACAAGTAAACCCAGAATTTTATCCAGACCTGAGTCCACCACAGCATCCCAATGTTCATGCTGTTCTGATGTTACCATAATGGTTTTGCATCTGTGGAATAGCTGCCATGAGTTTTACCCCAGAAAATAAATAGGATGTTTAGAACATCATATGCTTTGCAGAATGTCTGATGTATTAAGTGAAAAAAATTAAAGAGATCAATAAAGCTACTAAGAAGGCTAGACTTCACTGCCAAAGCATTAGACCTCACAGCTTTAATGAAGAGCTACTTAGAAATAAAGTGAAACATCTAATTGCATACACTCAAGTACACCAAGCATTATTAAAAAGAGCTTAGCCCTCAAACCTTTCAATTGGAGGTATGTTCTTCATGTGGCAGAAAAATATATATTCCTAGCATTTGATGCTAAAACACTGGCATGGGGAAAAAAAACAAGTCTAAAGAGATTATTTGTTCTGTTTGATAGTAAGTCATACAACTACCAGGCTATGATCTGAGAACACTGCTTGGGAGCTCAACACACAACTGGACAAATATCAATTTTCTCAAGAAGACGGACTGAGAGGCCTGGCAGACATACTTACTGTACATGATACAAGTGTGTGGACATGAAGCTCATGTGGCAGAACCTCTGGCAAATCATGTCCACAACTGCATCCATCTGCTGGAAAGAGCCGTGGATGTAAACAGAAAATTAAAACAAGAACATCACAACTGACTGAAGTATCGTTCAATTGTTCGATTAACACAGGAAAAACTGAGATGATCGCAAGCTGTGGAGTTAGAGCTTTTCAAGAAATTACCATCCCATCAGCAAGATTGTAAAGTCCACTTAGTAAGGTGCTTTGATGGTCTGCACGTGCATTGCTGTTCTGTGCAATACAGGCAGACAACACACAGTACCTCCCAAGTGGTCTGACAAAGCAACCCTGAGAGTCTGTATTGAGTAGTGATGTAACCCCGTGAGGGCAAAAGTGATGCAAACTACATATTTGTAGTCTGACAAAAAGAAGAGTTCAAGGCATTCATCAGCGTTTCGACTCTGAGGTGAATTCTGGACTAATCTGTCTGGTTTATAATCTACGCTGTAGACAAGTCTGTCTTATATGATGTGACCATCAGAGAACCGTGCAGAATATGTCATGTCAGACAGCACTTCTACAAAGAGGATATTTGGATGGGGATGGGAAATCAAACTTTTAAATTAAAAAAAAAAAGTGTTCAATGAGTGCCACTGAAGCAGCAAAGCTAGAAGAACTGCACTTCCTACAACTGACTTCTTATCCAGAGCAGTCTAGAATTCAGAAACATGGTACCTGAACAAAAATATGAGAGCTGGTTCTGATACCAAGGGCATTAACAAGACCAGTTTCAAGAAAAGAATTAAAGAGAAACAAGATTTCAGGCAAAACCTATTGGTTTTAACAAACATACCTTGGTGGGGTTTTTTACTTCAGTCTGCTGTTGAAACAGGAAAATGCAGATGGCCCAGCCTCCTTTTCTACATTTCCCTCATGCAGTTGGCAAGCTCTCAGAGATGCCAAAAATACTTGAAATGGTTGAGTGCCCTGTCATCTGAAATGATGGAGCAGTCCCCTCTTGTTGCTCACTTTTGTCCTGTGCAGCGTGTGAAATACCTAATGGGTAAGCAGCAACTCAAAGAGCCCTTAGCAGCTGCTGAGCTGTTCAATCAGTTTAGCTCTGGAAATATTGAGACAGAGTTGTATCAGATGTACAAAGAGCCTGTGAGCAGAGTTACATGACAATAAACTTGGTATGAGAGGAGACTGAGCAAAACAAAACAGATGACAAAGGCACGATTTGCTTGCTGTTAACAATGCCTTTGTAACATCACAAGCTATCTCTAAGCTATATTTTCCTCTGCATTGCTGGCTTGCACAACTTTTAATGGAACAAGTTTTTCTGGCAGAAGAACACAGATTTTTATCTTTAATGAGCAGCCTATCATTTAGCTTCAGGAAACAGCTTCCTGGTTGTAAACTGCTTGAGAGTCTGACAGCCGGTCAACTCAAAAGCAGCCAGAAGAAACTTTCTTGCTAACGTTGGGAAGGAATTAAAAAATGCTGAAAGGTGCAGATGATGTTATTATGGAGCAGGAGGACTCTGCTTCCCGACATGGAGAAATGACAAGTTGGGATATCAATGACATCAAACTTCCCCAGGTATGTGTCTGTGTCTTAGAAACTTACCCAGTTCTGATCAGTTGTCTCCACTTCACTGCTGATCTTAAGTGCTTTCTCAGTCATCTATGCTTCATTGCCTGTATTCTCTTTGCCACCTCAAGGTAAGGGACAGTGTTTTACTGAAAAACTAGAAAATATAGAGCAAATATTGACGTTTCTATACATTTTTCCTTAAATGTATAGGAGCTGCTGATACATGAAAAATATCAATGCTGCAGATGCATTGCCTTTTTAGTCCACTGGTGGATGAGGTGCAGAGAAAGCAGGGGAAAAAAATTATCTCCTGCTGTGGATGTTCAATTAGAAATGTCCAGGACATGCTTTTTGCCCTGGGTAGTGCTTTATGAGAAGTGAGCACAGCACCCGTGACTGCCTTGCAACTCTAGGTGCTCAGCCACGCTGCAGATCAGGCTCAAGGTAAGCAGGCTGGCTTTCCACACAGAGGCAATGCTCCTTTCATGAGCACCTAGGAAAACCTTGCTTTGTGTTTGCAGAGATCTGCTGAGAGGCAGAAAAGTAATCTTTCCCACCCTCAGTTCTTTTCTAGTCCTCTTATCTAAAAATTTCTACCACGCTCTCCACTGAAAGCCCACAGCACCCCACATCACAAAGTCATCTCCCTGTCCCTCACCCTAGCATATTTGTGCCAGGTTCCTCCTGCTGTGGTCCTTGACTGTCCAGCTCTTTTACCTCCCAGCCCTGCCTTCCTACCTGATCCCAGTCTCTTCCTTACAATGCCACTGCTGTTTGCCCACAGCCTCCATGTCCCAGGCTGTCTCCTTCCCTGCCTTCCACCCCAAGGTCACCTTCACCTGCATTTCAGCCTGGAGGCTTCCTCCGCACCCTTCCCTACGCTATCCAATGGCTCCTGGGGGAGCACAGGAGTTTTTCTCTTCTCATTCTCATTCTTGCTGCCGTAATGGCTCTTGGTTACTGGGATCAGCAATTTCATGGAAATCCCTACTAAGTTTTTGTACTTTTCCCTCAAAACCACCAGTGGATATATTAGGTGCTTTACAGATTACTGCATTTTGCTGTGTTGACTGTACCCACTGAGGTAATGTGTGGTTGGTCATTTGTCTTTTCTGTCATTGAGTTTTATTTTTATTGTTCCTTACAGTGTTGTCTTTGGGGCTTTTTTTGCTTAGACCATAGAGGTGAAATAAAAACCTGACCGAGATGTTATTTGGTTTGGACTTCAGAAAAATCACTGTGGAAGTCTTTCATGGCACTTTAGCCAAAATGAACCAAAGTCCAGAACTAAAGACCTACAAATGTGAGCAAAGTCTCGGTCTGATTCAGTATTTGCCCTTCTTCCAGTGAGTCGAGTCAAATCAAGCCATATGACTCAGAGTAACGCTGCTGTGAATGGCTTGAAAGGCATGGCAGGATCTCTGCCATGAAAGCTTGACAGATGCTAGTCAGGTGGTCACTGCTGCCTGCAAGGAAAGTATCTGCTCTTTTGTCAGGCGCCCCACCTTCCTCTCCTGGGGAGCTCCTTCACTGAACTGGACCCATGGGTGAGTGAGAACAACCTCCTGTCCAGGCTTTCCTGATACTTTGGGGCTCGTGGGAAGCCATGAGGAGCTGTGGTTTTTCTGCCTTCTCTCCACGGTTGCCTCCTGCCAACCAGCATCCCCTGCCAGGGTGCTGGAGTTGCCCAGGCTAGAGGACACTCCACAGAGAAACAGGGCTGTTGGGCTCTTGCACAAGCTCTTCTCTTCCCCAGCCTAAAATGTGGCTTGCTTTGGTCTCTCCACAGGATGTAAGACAGATAGACTGGTTTCAAGAATGGCCAGATTCCTATGAAAAACATATCTATAGCTCAGAGGATAAAAATGCTCAGAGGCACCACAGCAGCTGGGCAATGAGAAACACTAACAACCACAACTCTCGCATCTTAAAAAAGTCCTGCCTCGGAGTGGTGGTCTGTGGCAATGACTGCTCGACCTTGGATGGGAGGAAAATCTACCTAAGACCAGCCATATGTGATAAAGCTAGGCAAAAACAACAGCGTGAGTATGAACAGGGCTGCTCATTATATGGCAGTTCATAAGTGAACAGAACATAAAAGAAATCAAAGTAGAGGATACCCTTTGGATTATCCAGCCTTCCCACTGCCATTCCTTATGTTCAAATGCAACTATTGATTTTGGAACAATGCATTTTACATTACTTACTGTTGGAGAAGGAGTTGTTTGCTAATTTGTTTTCTTTTTTTTGTTTGTTTTTTAATCTCTATTTCTGATGGTTAGAGATTGATTTCCAGCCTTCTCAGACCCATGAGTGAGGATACTGAAAAAGCTGTGCAGTGCAGGCAGCTTCGTGCTGTGTTGTTCCTGCTGACCTGAGCGTTGGCTTCATTATTGCATGGGCCCAAGAGTAACTCGGGGGAAAGCCTTGCAGGAAAGAGGTTGCTCATAAACTATGATGACTGGAAAATAGGCCTTATGGTCATGTAACCAGAGCAAGACAATGCAAATAGAGAACATGAGCCACATGCACATTTTTAACAAGACCATTCCAAGCAATTGTTGATTGCTCAGTAGAGCTAGCACATACTGATTTCTGGACCGGACGAACATTTTAGCTAAAGAAAGGTGTTACTCAAGCATTCACTGGGGTCAGAATTATGTCCTCCAGAAAAATCAGACAAGAAAACATATGACATTCCAGACACTGCCAAGTTAAGAACAACTAAAACTGACCATGATAATAAATTAATAATAAATTATAATAAAGCCATAATATAAATAATGTTTGCCAGTTATATTTAATAATGGAACAGAATAAAGGCAATGATTAGTTTGCTTATATTGATTTTTGCTTATGTCTGAAAGTTTTTTGTATAGTTTTTCTCAGTGTAGTTTCTGAGCCCCAAACCAGAAGTGGCAATCCACCACCAAATGAACTGTTGTATCACACAGGATTAATCCGGTCAATGTTGTATAGAAAATATTTTCCACCATCTTTGCTCCAGGGAAATGCTGTCCAAACTGCAATGGACCCTTGCGGCTCCTTTCCTGTCGAGGCCATGGTGGTTACCCAGTTACCAACTTCTGGAGGCATGAAGGCCAATTCATATTTTTTCAGGTTGGTATAAAATTACCTTACATTATACAAGTTAATTTTAATGACTGTTTTTAAAGATTGATTAAAGACATTTTTTGTTCCAACAAATAAGGGTAATTGAATATGACAAGGTCAAATGACTGTAAGGAGAAAAATTTTCATAATGAGTGGACAAGGTTCTAAGCAATCTGATCTAACACTGAAGTTAGTCCTGCCTGAGCAGGTGGTTGAGCTAGACCTCCAAAGGTCCCTTCCAACTTATGATTTTTACAGCGTATTATATTTTTCATTTAGGCTCCCATGAATACCTGTTGATTTTGAAGCACTTTGCCTCAGATACATAGGAACCAACAAATCTTCTCTACAAGTCAGAAATGCCATGTTATCTCAACCTCTTCTCCAAGGCACCACACATAAGCATGAGGCTATCTTAGAGCAGGAAATGGTTGTACCCAAGGGACTGTCTATGGAAAATACCATCTGTGCTTTATATGTAACTTACATCTGGAAAACAGTGTATGTGAGTGTTTAAATAATGGGCACTATTTGTGGAAGCTGTAGTCCTAGTTTAGTACTATAACCACTGATCTGTCTCCTGTTTTCCAGTCTTTCACTTACATGTAGGTTAAATAAAATTAATTCTCTGTGAAAGCTAATGGAAAATAATGTTCTGATGAACGTGTCTAAAGTTTGAGAAGAATGGAAATGACTGCAGGGAGCTGTAGACAGGCTGCAGAAGACGTTGTGGCTTCAAGTGAGGCTTAGTGTAGGGAGTCTCTTCTGCACATAAATGTAGTGCACTGGTTTTATGGTTTCAGATAATTTCTACCCCATCACACTTCATCTGAGATGTGTTTATTACTTAGGCTCCCATTAAATAAGTCGCATTAAATACAAAGCATTAAATCAGGCTGTTTGTGTGGTTTTGGCCTGTGCTACAAATTCTTCTCCCTTAAGATTAATAACAAGGTTGTTTCTAACTTTAACATATCATAATTCCTTTCTAAAGTCCAAAGGAGCTCATGACCATCCACGTCCAGAAACAAAACTAGAAGCAGAAGCAAGAAGATCAATCCAAAAAGCACAGACAGCTTTTTCTCTATCTTCTCCAAGACTAAAAAGAATCCAGAAGATTGAGGTAACTTTTATTATCAGTGAATTAAATTGTAGGGCCAGTGATCCATGGTTCAAGGCATGGTGAAGGCTATCTGGGCTTTGGGTCTGGCTGGGATCAGGCTTTACATCTCTGCATTCTGCCTCCCCATGATCAGGCAAAGAAGGAGTAGGGCTGTCCTGAGCATCCTGCTCTGCTCAGTGCTGTCATCCACTGGGTTGACTCCCCATCTGGAGCCTCTTTGGGCCTGGTGGCAGCAGGGGATTATATCTACACAGATAACCAAAGCAGGGCCAGAGAGCAGACTTGTTCGCATCACTATTCACATGGTCCCTGCCATGGACTTGGCCAGTACTAACTCGTGCCCACAGACAAAATGCCCTGGCAGGGGTCAGGACAGCATGTGCTCAGGACCATCCCTTGGCAGGATCTTGGACTCCCTTCACTGTACACAGCTGGCTTTGAACCTACCTGTGCCCCTACATGCTGTCAGGCTACAAGCCGCAGGTATTGAGAATATCAAGCTGATGCTGTAAAAAATAGCGCTTGCATCATTTCACTTCAGGTCCAGAGGTCGCCCAAGGCCAGGATGTAGTCTGGAAACTGCCTGACAATGCCTTTTGGTCCCCATCACCAACGACAGTCCTTGGTTTAATTTTATTTAGCAGCATGGACATGGCTTTAGAGCCCCAGCTCTTTCCTTTTTTAAATGAAAGAGATGCCCATAGAAAAATTTCCTACAAGTTCTTTGCTAGTGCTGCTGCAGAAATTAAATTATTTACTAAGAAATCTAGGAATAAAGTGGTTAGATATTTAGTCCTATCAGCCTACTGGTCTTACTGAGGTCAAGGTCCCTCTAGACATGTCTTCATCTTTCCCTTCCTACAACATCTTCTTGACGTTTTCACTTCGAATTGTGTGGGAGTAGGAACAGACCAAAGATGTCACAAATATCTAATTGTAGAGCCTGCTCTTCAGCTGGTCTGACTCTGGGCGGTTGGAGTGGTACCATTTACCCTCAGCTGGCTTTCCAGTTGATGGATCTCTGGCAGGTTTTTCTTGGGAATAACCCATTATATTTGTGTTCTGCCAAGACCAGCTATGACACCACTAACTCGGGAGTCTGATTTGACATGCAGAACCTGCATTGCTGAATCTGCAAAAAGTCTTCTGAAAAGATTCAGTTTTAGTGTACTCACAACAGACCAGGGAGTAAAAGTTTAAAAAAAATGTATGAGCCCAAAACAGAGCAAGTGATACATAGGATGTTTTCTCTATGGTGTCAGCGGGTCTTTAGCTGAAGGTGGGCTGTGTCCTACATCAGGTTGTTGGAATTTCTTCTCATGGTGAGTGGAAAACAGCTGAAAGGAGCTTTGCTACTCTGGCAGTCAGCAAAATCACTATAATTAAATGGATGCAGAAGCAGAATTACAAAGAAGGGAGACGTGTAAGTACTCATCAGAAATGATAGCACAGAATGAGTGTTTTGAAAGGAATTAAAGTTTGCAAAATTATAATCCAATAATTAGGGCAATTAAAGAAGTTGTGAAATATCCAGAACAAAAGACCCAGAAGAATAATTCTTGTGTGCTGCTCCCTCCCTGAATAATATTTCTGTTTGTGCAGTAGAAAAGTATAAAGATAGGAAAATTTATTAGCTAGAAATAGAATCAGAGTCTTGAAAAGCTGAAGCATAATATTACTCTAGTGAAAAAATCACTTCAAAAAATCAGTTTTAAAAAATCATACTTAGCTTTTCCAAACTCCATAGAAAAAAAAATTCTGTGGTGTCAAATGGTTTAGCCTAATTTCATTTTCAGCTGCTTCTTCAGTATATGCTGGCAGCAGATCCCGAGGGCTGTAAATGCGAGGTCTAACAATTCTTTCAGTGTAAACTGGGCTTTGGGCAAAAACCAGTGAAACAAACCCAGACCTGTGATCTGGGAGCCCTGTTCGGTTGGTCCCTAAAGCCAGCTGGCACTACCTACAGGGACGCTCTGCTACAGCATCTGCTTCATTACCTGTACTAACTGAATGAATTTGTGTGCTGCTCTCATCTGGGACGGTTTTTATTTCATGCTGCTAGACTATGCCTTGTTTTACTAAACCTTGCTTTTCCTAAGTCTCCTACAGGTGCAATGCTGACACCGGAGGCTTTGCCTTTGCCTCTTTCCAAGCTGGATGCTTATGTGCTACCTGCTAATTTTGGGGAACATTTAAGCAAAAGCTCCCAGGAGCCAACACTGGGCAGCTGCTGTGGGCGGCCGCCATACCTAAGGGTGGCTGGGGAGGATGGGGACTCTGGAGAGGTGCCGATCTGGAGCAGGAACCCGGCCCTTGAGAGGACCTCCAGTGCTGGGAG